AACATGAATTATTCTCTTACATTATTGTACTGTCCTTTTTTTTTGGTTTTGTTTTTTTTTCCCCCCAAATGTGGTTGCTAACTGTGTATTGAACAATTGTACTTTACTCGTAGGCATTATTGATAGTTTTTCTGTTTTCACGTGGTGGTAGTCGATGCTTTTATTATGGCTCACTTTGTGTTCTGCTGACTGTATGTGGTGTTCCCCCTAGCTTCTAGTTGGTATAAATTGTTGTCAGTGTACACACACACGTTCATATTGGTAGAGTTAAAATTGCTGCTTGTCTAAATTGGGATGTTGTCTTATCTTTTTATACTTAAAGCATAGCCTGCTTTCTTGCTTTGAGGCATTTTTTTTTGAATAGCTGGTGGATGTACCTAAATAACTCCTTTGCTTGTTCAAACTGCTCCCAGATGGTTTAGTTGTCAGCTTTGAAAAGTTGATCTTTTTCAGAGTGCTAGATAAAATAAGCCACCAGCATGTTATGTTGTATGTTTATGCATACCAGATCCAATTAAGTAATTAATTGCATATGTAAGATTTTAGTTGTGTGATTACATCTTTCAGTTTCTTCATATACTATGTTGAAAGATGGCTTTCACAGTCATGTCAGGTTGAAACAAAGAATACATAAAACAGTGAGCTCATTATTCTCTAGCAAGAATTTTTTATCAGCTGAATTTATAAGACTTAATTGGAACTAATCTTAATTATCAAATACAAGTGTGAGGTGATTCATGCCCTATAATTATTGTTTTGTTCTCAGATTATTACTAGAAAGACTAATTTCTAGAAGATAACATTATACAGTATCTTCTGGTATTCTAGGTCTGTAAGTATGACATATTCAAGCAAAGCTCCATTTTAAGGAGAGAAAAGGCTATACACATGTAGTAGAAATCAGTAAAATTATATTTTTCACATCATTCTGTCTTTTAAGTCGTGTAGTGAATGTTTTTCTAGAACATCCATATACTTCATAATAAATGTTTCCAAAAGGGATCACAGATTTTGGTGTCACATTTTAGCAACACGTTGGTTCCATATTCAGTGGTATTTAGGCTTTTGCTCTGGAATTATGTGCGGGACCTACATAAAATCTCAGTGTGGGGCTATCTGCACTTTCACAGCATGGAAAGTGTGTTAGGAACCCAGGAACCGAGGTACAAAACCAGCAGAGACCTAAGGTATTTAGTAGAGTTTCGTGGACTTAGCACTGGTTTTGGCAGCAGAATGGTTTCATCTGAATAAGAGAAAAATATTAGCAAGAATTCCTCATTCTTACTGGGCAGATCACTGCTTTCTAGAGTTCATGGCACACTGATGAGCAGAAGGTGTGGTGGGGTCAAGTTATGCAGCAGTTAAGTTTTCCAAAACTTAATGTTTTCGAACGCTAGCTTGGTGGTGATACTTCATTGAAGTACCACTTCACATTTCTTCAGGGTGATATTTGAACACAAGCAATTGCTCAGTTCCTGTGGATTGCATTATGGGTACATTTGGAGACCTAATGTCATTCCTTTGGCTTTTTTTTTGTATCAGGCCAAATAAGTAACACAGAATCAGAGTTGAAGAAACTTGCGGAAGAAAATCCAGACCTTCAAGATGCCTATATAGCAAAACAGAAGCGCCTTAAAGTAAGAAAGCTCTTTGTATTTCCCCCCTGTGTTATGAGCTTGTTAGTGTCGGATTTTTACCTTCACGACGTAAACATTTGTTTCCCCCGTCATTACCAGTAATGTCATGGAATGGTTTAACCCTACATGGCGTGAAGCAGTCTGTCCCCCAAATCAGCTACACACTTCAGATGTGTGCTGAAGTATTGGACTGGTCCCACTGACTTCAGAGGTAAGTACACATCAGTGCTGGTGTGGGGCTGTTGAGCACCCTGCAGGGTGAGGCAAACCTTGGTATCTAGCATCTCTGATGTTTTTTCTCTGTTTCCTGAATTGTCACCAGTATCCAAGTGGTATCCAGCTGACTATGTGGAGAAAATAATCAGATTTTATGAATAAGCACTGTAGTATCTAAGTAAAAGTTTCTCTGATAGAAGTATAGACTCTGTACAATGATTAAAACCCTAACCTGTATCTATATTTAGTCTAAACTGCTGGATCATGATAATATAAAATACCTAAAGAAAATACTGGATGAACTGGAAAAGGTTTTGGATCAGGTTGAGACTGAATTGCAGCGGCGAAATGAGGAAACGCCAGGTAAGGACTTCCTCTTGCTAAATCCTGTTGATGCTTATGTTTGGGGAGACTGAGTAAACTGATGGACAGTGCCATTGCAGGACTGGTTTTAATGTATCCAATTTGAATCTTTTAGCATATATTGATTTAACTTCATGGAAGGAATCAATACTGGTTTAGGTTGCTGCTGCGATCAGTGAGTAGAAGTCTTATGAGGGTGCTTGATCACATTTTCAGCATAGTGAGTATGATTAGCTGCACAATTTTGCAGTATTTTATAAACAAAATAAGAAAAACCTTAACTACAGAATGTTGTTATTGATGTTGTAGTTTGTAAGCCTCAATTCACTATAATGATAGTGACCTTAATGTTTAACACAGGTTTATTAAGATGTTTAAATACTGTGCTGATACTTGTGGTACATCAGAATTAGTAATCTGAATAAGTGCTCTAATCATTAAGCAACCCACTCCATTGAAAAGCAGTATCGTTTACTGCTTATCGTTTGGGCTGTCCAACCAAATGAAAGTTGAACTCTGTTTAAATGGGCTTAGTCTTCTGCTTATTCAGTCTAGTCCAACTCCCAGTGCTAACAGGAATCCTTCCTCTGACTTCGCTGGGAGCTGCATGAAGCATCAGTCAATATCAACTGCATCTGCTCAGATCGATTACTCTTTGCATTTGGCTCTATAAATAGCTGTTGTAATAATTATCCAGTACTATCAAGACAGTAGCTTTGAACGAGGAATTGAAAATCTAGGTTAAATTTTCTACTGACTCAAGAGCGAAAGAGTTGCAGAAAATGTTTTAACTCCCAAAGGATGGTAGGATTTTGATAAGCAAACTCAGCGTATCACCATTTTCAGCAGCCTCTCTGCTTTCTCTGCTGAAGAGCCTTTCCAAGGAATCAAATGATACAATACTGATGAGCTTATGAAAACCAACAAAATCAGAGGATTTAGTAAAACCTGTGCCTTCTACATGCCTCTTGGAATTTTGTGTGAGGTATTCACATTTTTGGGGGTTTGTGAACAATGCTTCTGCCAGGTCCTGGTCAACCTCTGAGCTGCTGTTTCTCTTGCTACTGCTCAAATCCCTCATTTACTCACTGCTGCTGCCACTGCAGGCATCTTTCTTTCACACAGATTAGCTTCTTTGGTCTTCCTTTCTGTCATCTTTCTTACTTAATGCCCTGGATGAATTCCCAGGTATCCTTTCAGCAACAGAGGATACACTCATTCTCTGCAGAGGCCTTTCTTCCAGACCTGCATAACCGGTTGAAATGGACTGGTACCAGCGGTGTGCCAGACTGTTGCTTTCCTCTGGTGGCAAATGAGTTGAAATGGACATTGCAGAATTTCTCTGTTTCCACAGAGGTGTTGCTGAACGTTCATGCCAGCGGTTTTGCGTGCCTGCTGTGTGGGAAAAACTGCAAAAGGTTGCAAATGAGGAGGGAACGGCCTAGTCCTGTTTGAGATCTAGGCTAGAGCAGAGCGTTCATGCTGGCAGCTGTGCTAACTACCAGATTTCATATCCTGGGTTTCAAAAGCTCTTGGTGTAGTCGGTACAGGTAAGCCCTTTCAGGTGGCAGTGGTGATTCAGATCATGGAAGTTAGAGGTGTGATGCTGCCTGGCAGTGCCTGCTCTGAGACATCCCAGGAAGATTCGCCTCTTTCCTTTGACTGGAGAGGCAGCTTGGACTCTCCATCAGCGCTCCTGACTAATGGTGGGCAGCGTGGATATCCATTGCTTCTCAGACTTCTTAGTGTAAAAACCCCGTGGTTTGGGGTCTAGGAGGCACAAAGGAAGGATGGGTAGACAAACTCTGTCTTCTCACTGAGCTGGTGTGTTTGGTGCGGGTCAGTTGTCCGATCTTTTTGCCTTGAAAGTCTCCAGCAAATTAGCAGGTTTTGAGTGAATGCCATAGAGCCGAATGACACAGGCAAGATGATGAATTCTTCAGGCAAGTGGTAGCTTTTCAGTAAAAGCTAAACTGCCTTCCACCTTTCCCCTCTTGTTTAATTTAATCCAGATAGGAGAATGTAATTGAGGAGTCTTTACTGGGGGTTTTAATTTATGAACCTGAAATGTGGTTCTTTTTTCCTTAACAAAGGTAGGCCAGGCTGCTGAGCCTAAGATTTTGCAATATTGTTTGAAGAACAGACAGGGATTAGTAAAATGTTAATTGATTAAAGTCATATCTTAGCTTGTGTTTATTAGACATCATTTTGAAATAGCACTAAACTAAACGTTAGCCCATGGCGGCTTTTACGTGTGCTTGTATTCCATTAGCTCCTAATTCTTTATGTTTTATCTCTGCTTAGAAGATGAAAATCAGCCTTGGCTTTGTGGAGATTTCTTTAGTCTGGCAGATGTATCACTTGCCGTCACATTACATCGCCTGAAGTTTCTGGGATTAGCAAGAAGAAACTGGGGAAATGGAAAGCGGCCCAACTTGGAAGCCTATTATGAGCGTGTCCTGAAGAGAAAAGCATTTTACAAAGTTTTAGGACACGTCAACAATATATTAATCTCGGCCGTTCTACCAACAGCATTCCGTGTGGCCAAGAAAAGGGTTCCCAGAGTTCTCGGCACCACCCTGCTGGTCAGCATGCTGGCGGGAATGGGTTATCTCGCTTTCCTGTGTCTTCGGAAGAGGTTTGCCAACATGCTGTTATCGATTAGAACCAGGCAAAATTATTTTTAGACCTGTCTGTCCCTGATGGTGAGTGGAGGGCATCTCTAGCCCCCAGGAAAATATCCCCAGTAAAATATAAAAGTAGAAGAAAGGTTATGTCTGTGAATTAGAACACTGTCACACAGTAATCGTCTCCTGCTGTTGTATAATTGGATCGGCAATGCCCAAATATTTATGGAAAATATATGTCAGGGGGACAACAAAGGAAAGAAGAGACTTTCTTTTCAGATGAAGACCTATGAGATCTGTGACAGTGCTTTGTTAAAGTGGTTATTGTCTCCTTTACCCAGTAGCTGACCTAATTACGATGCTTTTATTAAATAGATATGCAGCAATGTGACAGCTCTTCACTGTGGGTGAAATGCGTTACTGTGCAGAAACCAGCATTGTTAAAATCCTGAAAATAGCACTTACTTCAAATGCTCGGAGTAGGATTTAAGTGGAATGTAGGCTCTGCGCCTGTTGTGTACAGGAGCGAGTGTCTCTGGACCGATTAATGTCTATTGATCTGCAGCTGGACCTTTAGGAATGTGTTAAGAAGTAGTCTTGTGGAGCCACTTTTGTCACTGTGTGTTCACGCAGTAGTACAGGAAGAGACCTGAAACACACATGAACATCAGTGATCTGTGGGCCACGTGAGTGAAATTCTTCAGAGGCATCAGTGGTCAACAGATGCTAGACTTTGGCTGAAACACAAATGGGAGTGAAAAACCTGACACTTGTCTTTTGAAAGCATTTTGGGTTGCCTTTGGCCCAGCCAGGTGCCCAGCTCAGCCGCAAGCCCTGGCTGAGTCAAACCGAACTCTCTCAGTGCACATTTCCTGCTTTCATTGGGGTGGCTTCATAAAGTTGTTTTCATGTTAGTGTCCCATATACCCTTTCTTGTTTCCAGTCTGAGCACTGGGTATTTTTTTGCACACTACTTGGCTATGTTAGCGACTGCATGTGCCTCTGTGAAATGTTTGCTCACAACGTGCCATGGCCAGCTAGAAAATGTATGCACAACAATCCATTCTGTAAAAGTAATTTAAAATAGTTCACTATCTTTCAGTCTGGTTAGGCAGCCTAGGTTGAAGGTGAAACTAATTTAGCAATCTGTTGGTTTGTGGAGAGGTGTCATATTGGTGGTAAGTGAAAAATATAGGTCAGTTTGGAGACAAGTGATTTTTGCTGTAGATTTTTTGAAAAGCTGCACTCTTGTAGCTTGTAGGAAAGGTACAAAAAACCATTTTGATTACTTCCCCCTACTCAGTAGATGCTGAGAGTTTGATTAGATTTGAACTAAGCTCCTGTTTCAATGAGAAATGCACATTTACCTGAAGGCAGACTTTGAATTGTTTTGCAATGAGAAAGCGATCAGGAAGGGCTGAAAATTCTCATGACAGTTTAGTAAAATTTTTGTATTCTTGATGAATGTCTTAAAGCCTCAGAATTTTGTTTACAAGCTGTAGATAACTGCAACAAGCAAAACACAGCTTTAAATGTTTGCCTGTCAACAACCAGTGTGATCAGGCCTAAGTACATTTTAGGTCCAGTGCTGGTGACTGTGGTCTCTGCACAATTGCTTTGAGCACCGAGAAGATCCACTCTGAAGTTCGGTGGAGAGAGCTGCAGCAGTCTCACCATGTAGCAGATTATCAAAATGGATGAAATTGTTGAATCACAGAATCATAGAATGGTTTGGGTTGGAAGGGACCTTAAAGACCATCCATTTCCAACCCCCCTGCCGTGGGCAGGGACACTTTCCGCTAGACCAGATTGCTCAAAGCCCCATCCAGCCTGGCCTTGAACATCTGCTTATAATTTAATATTGTGCTAGTTGTCTAGCAAAAGAAGACCTAAATGTCACTGCTCCTTTTCAGTAATAGGAAACATCTTACCTAGGAGACAATGTTTTTTTTTTATTTGTCAAAAAGACAGTTTTATCTAAGTCTATTTCATGACCCAGTTGTTCTCAGGAACTTGTTGAATTAAATGTGCTCTGTTTAGAAAAGCTTTATTATGTCTAGAGTAGGTTTAATCCAACAATACTATTAATGTGCTGGCAGCTTTAGCAGAATTTGTTGTTTGTATATTGCAGTTCATCTGCATTTACTCGTAACCAACAAATTCCACAAAGTTAATAAACACAGAGCAAGGCCTGTAACTTAATGCTTCTCTGACACGTATTTCTGACAGGCCATCCGTAAAATATAATCTGATCAAGTCATAGTAGATTTCGATATATATGGCTTAGCTTTCTTTACAATTAATTTATATTTCACTTTTTCCTTCCTCTTTTTTTTTTTTTTTTTTTTAAAAACATGTTAGTTCTAGATAAGAACACTTACATTCCCAGGGTGCTGTTGGTACTGGCAGCCCTGTGTACTGTGATACAGACTAGTTCTTGATGAAGCAGTTTTACTTCCCCCCAAGCCTCGATGATCTCTGCCCTTGAGCTCGTCGCCTGCCGGGAGCTGCAGGTCCTATTGGGAAAGAGGGAAGTGACCACCAGATGTCAGTGGTCCTCCAGGGCTGCGCCTTGGCATGCCTCTGAGATGTGCAGGGAAACGGAGTTCTCACAAACAAAACGTTTGTGACCTCAGCACAAGATGGATGTGAGCATCCTCATCAGGCTAGCAGTCTCTCAAGAACTCTCAAAACAACTGCTTTGGTCTGCTACAGGTTGGTTCTCTGGTACCTATCATTTATGTTTGTGTGTAGTTTCTACACTGGATAAATAAGAGGGCAAAGTTGAAATAATGTTTCACATTAAAATGAATGTCACTGAACAGCAATTAAACTTGTCATCTGCAGGAATGAACATGGATAAAACTTTTACTGCAGAAAAGTTTGGATCTCTAGTTTAATTCATGTCTGTTAGTTCAACTGTTTGATAGCTGACTTATTTTCACTGCCCTGAGTACTCTGTGCAACAGCCATTTCTGTACAGGTGGCAGCAAAAGGCTTATCCATGATTAAATTCCTCAAAATAGGATGAGACTTAGAAGCACATATGCTGTATATGGCTCTTTGCGCAGGATAGCTTGTGTGTGGTGCTTGTAAAGTTTCTTTTCAGCCTGGCTTATTTTCTTTGCTCTGGTACCTCTGGACACTAGATTGGAAACACAAGCAGTCTTTGGTTTTCGTTTACTATTTGCTCTCATATCATGCATCAGATATATTTCATACCATATCTTTGTATGTGAGACCTCACAATAAACATTGATTCTAAGACTTTCTAGACTGATTTATGTCTTCTGTGTCAGTAAAACAAAGCACCTTTGAGATCATACAGTATTGCTGTAAGGAGTCTGATGCTGTTCAAGGAGAGAAGCCTCTGGTATTTGAGTTTAGAATGTGTTAAACAGATTGTCTTTCATCTATTTGGAAACAACAGTTACAATGACTGTTTTCTTTGGTTGTCTGTCTGAGCTGTATATGCCTGAGGCTTGATAGAAGCTGTTTAATAATGTTCAAAACCCATTTAAAGAAGGACAATTGGTTTTTGTATTTCCAATTAACGCTTACCCCCAGAAAAGCTTCCCTTCTGACTGTGACATTGTTTCTTGGTTTACATCATTGAGCTGCAGAAGCTGCAACTCCTTTCTGTAAGGTGACAAGCACGTAAGCTGTGTCCACATGTATGTTGTCATTAATGAGACCAAGCAGTGTGCCCTGACCAGTGTTAGTCTGGCCATAAGCTTTTTTTTTTTGTCCATCTTGCCCTATAACAGTCTGCATTGGACCTTTTAAGCAGAGGAAGAGACAACTCGAGGCTTGCATGCATTTCCACTTGGTATTTCTAAAGTCAGCAGAGCTGCTAGGAGCTGATAGACAGCTGGTAGGGCTTGCCTTTCAGGAGATTATGACACCTATGGTCAAGGGACCGACTTTGAGGTGGCCTCGATGTTAGCATTAACCAGAAGTATACACAGAGACCTTGCTCTGAAAGGCTTATGTCTAAGCAGATGAGAGGAGCAAGAGTGAATGGGAAGGTGAGTACAGGAAGTGTAAATACCAAGTCCAGATTCCCATAGCCATACATCTACTTTGGTATATCACATTTTTAAAGGCATTTTTAAAAAGTACATATTAATTTTATGAGAGCAAGGAGCTACTAAGGTTTAGAGAGCAGATTGGTGTGCCCTAATTCATGAGGATTAGAGCTAGAGGTAGGCTGAAGGTAGGTGAAAAGTAGTGGATCTAGCTAACTGGAGCACACTGTGCTCTGCAATAAAGCATATGATGGATTTTTCTTTATGGAGGCCTCATTAAGTATATCTCTCTGTTTAGCTGATGTTAGACAAAGAGGTGTAATGTTGTGCTTAGGCAATTTGTAAGATGTGCTAAGGAAGTCAAAAGCATGTAGAAAAAGCCCAAACAAAATACATTCCCCCTACCTCTGCCACTCCTTTTAGTTTTGGTGCAGTACCAAGTCAAAAAGTCAAGCACTCAAAACTCAGGAAATTCCAGAAGCCAGAGTTCTTACAATACTGTTACCTCAGTCATACAGTTCTTCAGTAGCATTTTTATTTCTGGTTTTCTTTCTAAGTTAACAGTTGTGGTGCTTCATTTCATGTGAAGTTAAAAAAGTTGCACCATAAAGTAGTTAAGCTGTGGATAAGCTTAGTGTTGTGGGAAGAATCTGTTGGAATTTGCAGAGTCCTGGCTATTTCCATTTTAGCTTTACATCAGCATTTATTTTTTACTACAGTTTAAAATACTCATAAATAATTGCATAAAAGTGTATTGTGGAAACTAATACATAATAGCATAACTCAATATTAATCTAATTTATATGTATTCATATGTATTACTCTCCTTTATATATATTCTATATAATATTTCTATTTATTCCTTCCATACTTCTTCTGCTAAACATGGCTAATTGACGATTATGTATTTTATTTATATTTATAAAATCCAGCTCTAAAGCTAAAATGGTAACAATTTGGTTGATTTATTTCAAATTAACACAATGAGAATTATCCTTTATGGTTCAAACTTAGTGCTTTGTTATGTGCAATTTTTGAGATCCTTTGTAGGACTGAAAACATTGTCTAAATCCCACTGAGACCGCAGGTATAGTCGCCACCAGCATCCTGGAAGGGCGTGAAGGAGAGTCTCTTCACATGCCTGGCTATGGCTGAAGAACCGAAGGGAACTGGCTTCTCTAAAGGAAATTGCTTTTCAGGCAGAACTGGGGAGAACGTAGAGAGGGAATGAGTCAGCCTGCTTGTGTTACTGGCGTATTTTTGTGCAGGCATGTGTTCACTGTTTCTACATGAAACCTCATCGGCAGCTGTCTATCCTTATTTACTTTCATAGCATTATGGTAGTGTTTGATAACATTTGTTTGACATCATGAATGGAGGGACTTGAGAATGTACATGAATATATTTGGTGCTTCTTGTTAGCTGATCAGAACAGAACAGAAG